CTTCCTTCCTTCCTTCTTTCTTTCTTTCTTTCTTTCTTTCTTCTTCTCCTTCTTCTTCTTTTGGGTTTCTTAGACAGGATTTCCCCGCTCTGTTTCCCTGTCCTGGCTGCCCTGGAACTCACTCATTAGACCAGGGTGGCTTTGAACTCACAGAGATCCGCCTGCCTCTGCCTGCCGAGTGCTGGGATTAAAACAGTGGTTCTCCACCTTCCTAACGCTGCTATCCCTTAATACAGTCCCTCCTCATGTTGTGGTGACCCCAACCATAAAATTATTTTCACTGCTACTTCATAACTGTAATTTTGCTACTGTTATGAATCATAATGTAAATATCTGTGTTTTTTGTTGGTCTTAGGTGACCCCTGTGAAAGAGTTGTTGACCCCCAGCAGGGTCACGGGCCAAAGGTTGAGAACCACTGGATCAAAGGTGTGGACCACCAGGCCCAGTTTTAAATACAGGTTTTCAGGACTCAAAAGCAGCACTTGTTTGTGTCAATGTCATTATGAGGACACACACTGAAACATTTGGGACTTTTGGATGATGGCATTAGTAATGACAAATTAGCTTCCTTTGCAAATGTTTGCTTGGTATTTTAAAACCACTCCATGGTAAATGTGATTTCCATATGATTTTAATTTTGGTGATGGAACCCAAGGCCTCTGCCTACACAGCACATATTCTCTCACCAAGCCCTGCAGGTAAACCTATTTATTTACTTTGTGGTTTTGAGACAAAATCTCATTATGTAGCTCTGGTGGCCAGGAACTTACTGTGTAAACCAGACAGGCCCTGAACTTTTTGACAGACCTTCCTCCTCCTAAATGCTGGGGCTAAAAAATGTTAGACCCTACAACTGACTTTGTGTGTATAATTCTATCTATCTATCTATCTATCTATCTATCTATCTATCTATCTATCCATCTTCTGTCTGCCTGTCTATCTATCTATCTATCTATCCATCTATCTTCTGTCTGTCTGTCTATCTATCTATCTAATCTATCTATCATCTCTCTCTATCTGTCTGTCCCTCTACCTTCCTATCTATCTGTCTGTCTGTCTGTCTATCTATCTAATCTATCTATCATCTCCCTATCTATCTGTCTGTCCGTTTTTCTGCCTATCTATCTGTCTATCTGTCTATCTATCTATCTATCTATCTATCTATCTATCTATCTATCTATCTATCTATCTATTTATCTATGAAACAGGGATATGAGAAACAATACAATTATCCCAACTTTATAGTGAGAGAACTGGAGACTGAGTATTGAAATCAAGGCAATTTATTTTAAAGCCTTACTAAGTTTGGAATCGTCCTAGAGAAAAGTCAAAAACCCCTAAAGTGTCAACTCAATTCAAAGCACATATTTTTATATTCCTTATTGCATTTCTCTGCCTCCTGGTCCTCACTGGCTGGGTTTTTCAGGAAGATATAATCTTCCCATCATTGCCCTTTCTCCTGATTCCCTAAGATAATGGTTCAAGATGAAAAGTCTTATCTAATGTATGGCCTGGGGCTTGAGATCCCCTCCTCCGTGGTGCTGAGCTCAGTCTTGTAGAGATGGCCTGTAACTTCTCAACTCTATGATGAGCCTGGACAAGCAGGCGCTAGCTGCTCCTATGAAAGACAGGGCCTAGTGCCTGTGGCTCATCTGTGACTCTCTGATGAACTGCAAGTGCACTTCATACTGAACATGGACCAGAATAATTTATGCATCACAGCCCAAGAAAACCACACACTGACTATATAGCCAGGGATGACCTTGGTTTTCTGATCCTCCTATCTCTGCTTCCCCAGTGCTAGGATTGCAGAGCTACAACACCATGCTCAGTATTATGTGATGCTGGGGATCAAACCCGGGAATCCCTGAGCTCTAGGCAAGCACTATACCCACTGAGCTCTGCTCTGGTCCTCTTGATGTAATTTTAAAGAGATGCCATGTAACGGTAGCTTGCTCAGGGGTGACAGACACTGATGAGGAAGAATTTCCATCCTAGGGAACTTGGGCAGTTCATAAAAGAGAAGATGGCCCTGCCCTCATGAGAGGTAGTGACCTCTCCTGGGACACACATAGCATTAGGAGCTGTCACGAAGCTGTACGGAAGTGTGAGGGAGGGCTGTCTTGATGCCACCTGGAGGAATCAGGAGAATTTTACTGAAGACACCAGTCAATCCCGTGTGTGCTGCAGCCAGTCTCCCCGTTGCTCTGTCCCTCCGGATGGCTCCTTCTTATGAATCTTACATCCTACCGATGACATTGTTTCTGTGATCTATGCTGGGTGCTGCTCACCTCCTCATGCACAGACCACCTCAGTGAAGAGCCAAATCTTTGCTAAGACAGTAGCTGCTGTGCCTTCAGTAAGCATGGCATCTTTGATTTTTATTTTGCTATTTTTTGAGGGTCTCATTATGTGGTCCTGGCAGTCCTGGAACTCACTCTGTAGACCAGGCTGGTCTCACATTCACAAAGATCTGCCTACTCTGCTTCCTGATTGCTGGGATTGGAGGTGTGCACCACTAAGCATGGCTAGAATGGCATCTTTTAAAAGGTGATATCAAACCTGTGGTGGTTTGAATGAGAATCTCCCCCCACCCCACCACAGGCTCATATATTTAAATGGTTGTTAACTAGTTGATGGAACTGTTTGGGAAGGATTGGGAGGCATGGCCTTATTTAAGGAGGTGTGTCACTGGGCCTTGTGGTTCAAAAGATTCCTGTGATTCCCAGTGCTCTCTGTGCCTGGGGTTGTGGTTGAAGATATGATCTCTCAGCTGGTCGTTAAATGCACCATCATGGGCTCTAATCCTCTGAAACCATAAGTCACAGTACACATTTTCTTTTATAAGTTGCCTTGGTCATGTGTTTTATCACAGCAATAGAAAAGTAACTAAGGCAAAACCCCTCCCTAAAAACAAAAACAAAAACAAAATCCACTTTGTATGAGTTAATGTGACAAATATATTTGGTGCATGGTTAATCATAAATGTAGAATTTATGATAGAATTAAATAGAGTCCAACTTCATAATCCCCATTTTTCTTCTGTTTAAAATGACATAAAATTATTCTATTATGTTTTAAATATGAAAATGGCATTGCTGCATGAAAAGTATAGTTTTTAAAATTAAAAATAAACAAATAAAATTAAAAGGTAATGTCAGGCAGGAGTGCTGGCACACATCTGCAATCCCAGCACTGGATCACTGAAGTAGAAGACGCGAGTTTGAGGCCAGCCTGGCTATGTAACAAGATTGCTTCCAAACAGTTAAAAGTTATTGATGGTTATGGCTTCATGTATTGAATCCACTGGGACTATAATGGCTATGTCAGGATCGTCCTTACTACTTAATTTTAAAATGTTTAAGATGCATCCTTAACAGAGTCACTGCTGTAAACTGGGGATGGTGACTGCATAGCCAGCAGATTCACACGTGAGGAGGACCAAGGGTACACACATACACACTCACACACACGCGCACACACATGCACACACGTACACACACACGCATTGAA